GACTTGTTTGACCAGCTCAAGGGTGCTCAGGTATTTTCTAAGATTGATCTTCGATCTGGCTACCACCAGGTGAAGATTAAATCGGATGATGTGCCAAAGACTGCCTTTCGCACCCGTTATGGTCATTATGAGTTCATAGTCATGCCATTTGGCTTGACAAATGCCCCTGCCAGATATATGGATTTGATGAATCGGGTGTTCAGCAAGTACCTGGACTAGTTTGTGGTTGTCTTTATTGATGACATTTTGGTCTACTCTTCTAGCCATGCTCTTCATGAGAAGCACTTGAGGACAGTCCTCGAGACGTTGAGAAGGGAGAGGCTATTTGCTAAATTCAAGAAGTGTGAATTTTGGCTAGATAATGTTGCATTCCTAGGTCACGTGGTGACTAAGGATGGAATCTCTGTTGACCCCTAGAAAATTGAGGCCGTTGTTGATTGGAAAAGGCCGAATAGTGTTGCAGAAATTCGTAGTTTTTTGGGATTGGCTGGTTATTATCGCCAATTCGTGGGGGATTTCTCTAGAATTGCTCTGCCAATGACTCGTCTTATCAGAAAGGACGCCAAGTTTGAGTGGACCCCAGAGTGTGAGAAAAGCTTTTTGACCTTGAAAGAGAAGTTGGTCACTGCTCCTGTACTTGCACTTCCAATTAATGGGGAAAGATTCACTATATATAGTGATGCCTCTAAAAAGGGTTTGGGATGTGTCTTGATGCAAAAAGATAGGGTTATTGCATATGCTTCTCAGCAATTGAAGCCTTATGAAGAAAATTACCCTACCCATGATCTGGAATTGGCAGCTGTAGTATTTGCACTCAAGATCTGGAGGCATTATCTGTATGGTGAGACTTGTGACATCTTCACTGATCACAAGAGCCTTAAGTATATTTTCACTCATAAGGAACTCAATATGAGGCAGAGGCGATGGCTTGAACTTTTAAAGGACTACGACTTGACCATTAGCTACCATCCGGGCAAGGTTAACAAGGTAGCAGATGCGTTGAGTAGGAAGTCCTCTGGCACTGCCTCTAGCATCCTTGCCACTCAGAAGGAGTTACTAGAGGATCTTGTGAAACTTTATGTGGAGTTGAGAGTGGACAGCACTACGGCTTATCTAGCCACCCTCAGTGCACAACCGGCATTAATAGATAGAATTAAACTTGCCCAACAAAAAGATTCCTTCTTGCAGAAGATGAAGGAAAAAGTAAGAGCCGGGGAACCCCACATGCAAGAATTCAGGATTTCTGATGATGAGATTCTGTGGTTTGGTGACAGGCTGTGTGTACTCAGGGATCATGCCTTAAGGCGTGAGATTATGGGAGATGCCCATTGTACTAGCTATACAATCCACCTAGGGAGCACCAAGATGTATCGCGATTTGCGTGGTACATTTTGGTGGCGGAACATGAAGAGGGAAATAGCTAGATTTGTCTCACAATGCCTGACCTGCCAGAAAGTCAAGGCTGAACATCAGAGACTTCCTGGAAAACTGCAGCCGTTACCTATTCCTCAGTGGAAGTGGGAAAACATCACCATGGACTTTGTGACTGGATTACCACGAACCTT